CTCACCATCATAGCAAAAGAAAAGTTTTGTGTTGTTACAATCATCAGCGCTCCATTTTCCTTCTTTGTTTAATGCAGTCATTGCACATTTCGTAGTGCCACTGTCAGTTTTAAACAGCCCTTCTTCAACTCATGCACACTTTCCCAGTGTCTGTAAGAACAGTCACACCCATTCGATGGCCTCTGGGTGTTTTTGAATGATAACTAATAAGTAAAAAGTTATATCAAAACTAAGAGAGTGCAAATGGTGAGTGAAGAGGAAATACTCAAGTAAAACCCTGATCTAATTGATCACCAATCTAATCCAAGAGGTGCTGTGATGCAAAGAGCTGCCAAGTACAAACCAGCTTCAGGATGAAGGAGTGCATTGCCAGAGGATGGAGGTGGCAGACAACAGGATGGCTGAGGGAAGGACAACACAGGCTGAATAAATGTTTCTATAAACAAAACCAGCCAGCACTCACTGTGGTTAGCTGAAGACTTGGCAAAGAGTCGTGGTGAGCACTGCTCATCAGTGCTGGCAGCTCAGTTGGCAGCAGGTGTGGAGACACGCAGGAATGCAGCGACTCCACCCAGGGGTGGAAATGACGACTCTGTGGAAAAACCCAAGCACTCACCCGGACCATGACAATTTCATGTTAGCACTACTGGCACCACTTTCTCTGGTTTATAAAATATAGTCTGTTTTGAGGAAGAACAGTAAAGAAAGCATGGAAATGTACAGACTTTACTATTGTTACTTCAAGTTTTAGGAATATCTGCTTCCATTCACTGTAAAAAAACAAACAAACAAACAAAAAAGACTTCAAATAAACATTTCTATAAAAGAAAATGGTAAAAACATTCAAATGAGACCTGGACATTGGTCTTCATGCGTCTTTGATTCTGTCTCCCCTTTGTGGGCTAAGGAAGAATTTACTGCTGGAACAGGAGGACTGTAACCTGCATTTGAACATTAAAAAAATAAGTCTGAATTCCAGTACAACCATCAACATCTAATTTACATAATGTCATGTAAGCAGAAGAGACAAGAGGCCAAACAGACGCTCTACTGCTCCTCAATCCAAACTGCTCAACCCGACTCTGTTCCTCTGATATTCCTAATCCTGTCCTTTCTGGTCACTCTCAGCAAACATCTCAACATCTTGAGCTCTGCCTCCTTCAGGTTTGGCTCCTGTCCTTCTGTGGAGTGCACATTTTCAAGCCTCAACGCTTTTTAAGTGTTTTGACTACCACCATGCTGGTTTTGCTGGAGCCACAGAGTACTGCATTTGTTTGTGGGTAGAGTGCTAAGCTATCAGCTAACGCTTTGTTATTATGAAGCTACATCCACGATCTGTACAAGTGCATCAGAAACAGACAATAAAATAGAGTATAAGCCACCAAATCTACTGTTATCTATTGTTAGCTAGTTTATTGTGATGGTGTTGTTTTTATTATGTTGCTCTTTGTTGTTTGTTTTCTCTTCTGGGTTTTTTTCTCCATACAGGTGATCCAGGTGTTTTGTTTGTTTTTCTTTCTTTCTTCCC